AAATTTCTTACATAACCACACCCACTCACTCTACAAGGTAAAATAATTTTAAGGTTTTGCAAAAAAATTATTGGTTCAGCTGTAATGTTATCGCACAAAAAGTTTCAAAGTTAAAGTTTTGTAGTTGATCCCTCCACTACACCATAAGCAGCACATTCTTCCATTGATAGTTCTGATTGTGGAACTGGTAGATGTACATTCTCATACTGTGGATCAACTGATGATAGTTTTTGCTCTTGTGAACCTGTAATACAATTCATCATAGTAAATTTAAAAAATAAATTAACATACTTTGCCCATTCTTCCCTATCCTCTTGCAGTAACACACAGTTAATGTAATAACATTAATCATTAGTGATAGTATGAGGAATACACCTAATATAATATTCAATACTGGTGAATTAGTGCAGGAATTAATAGCAACAGGAGCTTTATTTTGACTTTTTTTAGTACCAAACGTATTACAATCATCTCTTGTTACAGTAACTGTAGAACGTATCATACAGTCTGTGACCATACTACTTGATGATACAAATGATGAAGAAGTGAATAATGAAGAAGCTATGGACAAATTGATAATAATGATATGAAGCAAAGACATTAAAGTATAATTATTACAACTACACAAACAAATTTACACTTACAAGCATCTATGCTACTACTTATGCTGGCCCGTGGGAATCTTGATGCCGATGAAGTAGCTGATACGGCTGAAGTAGTTGGGACTAATGAATGAACTGATGACATTCGAACTGAAGATGTAGAGTCACTAGTAATATTGATACCAGTTATTACAGCAGGAGGATTAGATATACAGTTCTCGAAAAAGGTTTCGAATTGACATGCATGCAGTGTTAAGTTATTACCAGCTGGTATGCCATCAAAACACTTAATAAAGTTCAATGAATCATTAAGAGGTTTGAGGTCATCCCAATGAAACTGGCCTTGACTATCAATAATGTGAATGTAATCAATATAAAGTGTACTGCCATTGACAAACTGAAACTGAACACAAACAGAATTTGATGCAATATTAATCAATGTCAAGTTCAGGTCATGAGTGCCTTAAAATAAGTAAATATCATAATGTATTAATTGTGTATTACTTACT